ATATATAATATTTAAACTATATACGCACAAACAAGCACACACACACATTCACACATACCTACACACACATACAAACATATGTATATACATACACTCGTATTATACACACATACACACGTAAGCGCTCATGCGTAAGCAAAAAAAAAATTATGCACTGCACCATTGGCATAGAATTAATAAATTATTGGTCTCTTTCATGGAATTTAGTCTAAAAAAGAAGCACAATAAACATAGTATAATCTGAAAACAGCGAGAAAACTCCACAGTTTCACAGTCATCTTGATTGTTTTCTCTGGTTTTTTCTTGATTTAAGTTTAAAAAAACTTTTATCGCTTGAACCCTTTTCGGTGGTATACCAATCCATGACGTCATCGACTGTTTGTGGTAGTTCTTTTCCTCGAGTTTCTGGAAGGATCTGAATAAGGAGACACGTGGCAAGGCTGACCACTCCAAACACAACGCTGGGCAGCCATGATGTTGATGTGGGCTGGTGAGATGAAACAGAATATTCAGTAAAATTAAAGCCCCTTTTAATACTGTAAGGTTGTCAAAGATGCAGCCTTCTGAAGACAACGTTCATCTCTGATAGATTGGGACCAAATCAAAGAGAACCATGCATACTTCATAAACAGCCAAGTTAGAGAAAGGGAAGCTTCGATTTTTTAAAAAAGGGTCATTCGTATTGAAGTCCAGTGTGTTCCAAACTGAGATATTGATGAGTATCCACCCTCCCCCACCTTTCCCCTTCTATCTGTGATAGTTACAGTCCAATAAAAGTCTAGAACTGAAGACGTAATAAAGTGGTTTTCTTCCATTTACAAACCTACAAATCTGAACAACCCTACCAAATAATGTATGCCTAAACAGACCAGAGCCAGGAATATAACCTAAATATTGTTCCATCCTGTTCCACCTGCTTTCTATAGCCCAGGTCAGGACGATCAACGTGCTTATCTCTAATAATGTCATCATAAGTAACTGTGGAGAACAACGTACATTCCATCTTGGACCTGTTTCAAAGACCTGCACGATTTTCTCATTATGTCACGAATTCAAGTCGAAAGGCGCAAGTTCATGTACCTATCGGAAAAGGTATGGTTTAGTACATAACATCAGTCTAATACTCCGTTAAAATGCTGTACTAAGGGCAATGATCTCGAGGTATAACCCACATCTCCAATTGTAACGTATGACAGGAAAGACAAAGTAAAGCAAAGTAAGTTGTCTAAAATAATGATTGAATGTGAAAGGACGGTTGTAGGTGGCCAAGAATGTTTACTATTAAAATTTGCTCTCTTAACCGGGTTTTTCCGTCTGGGGACTTGTTAAAACTTAAATGTATGTTTTACGCCCCTTTAAACACGATTTAAATCATTTAAGAGGCGAGATTCAGCCCTGCCATGTACTCGATAAATATTCTCCGTCACCAAACTCGAGTCTCCTGCGTGCCCCGGTAAAGCACTTAATTGCTGCACCACAGACACGTACCAATCCAGATACCGAACTACAGTGAATGTTCCTTTCCCATCACTGTGCAGCTGAATTAGTCAAATTCCTAATGTCAGAATATATAGTCATTGTCTAACAGTGCTTTAAAGTCTACTTACTTGCAACAAACTAAGAAAAGAGTCGTCTAGAGGTCCCAGGTTCGAAAGCTGACTGCGGCAGAAAATTTTCTTTTCTAAAAATTTCTCCTTTCATCTTCTATGTAATACTTGCTCTCTAACCACATTCTTTCGTCTGATTTCGTCTTCACTTTCTGCGCCCCCACCCCCCGCCTGGCCGTTCCTCCTCCTGTGCGCTCCTGACTCTTTCTGCAGTCTTTCTACCTCAACGCGTTGGCTCCTTCTCACTGATGTCTTTCAGCAACACATCTGATTTTGGGGTAGGTAAGATCTAACACCTAGCTTTCTCGAATAAGAATGAAAATTCCTGGAGGTCCCGTGTGCAAGTTGTGAACGTTAAAGATCCCTTGTTGGTCCTAAAATCGATAAAAGTAGGCCTCGCCGCCTCTCGGGTAAAATTCAAAATACATTCCTACTGAACTGAAAATGCTTAATGTATTCCGGGCACTCATATGACCTTATGTAGTTGTGAGTGCCGTAAAAGACTTACCAAAAAAACAAAACAAATAAAAACTAAGAGACTTACCAGGAGGTTGACAAAAGGCGCGAGAGCACCTCCAATCCTGCCAGCGGTGGACGATGAGCCGACGGCAAAATTTCTGGTGGACGAGAGATCAGTTAGCAAATGTGTTGTGATAAAACAAATGATTATGGGTGGACAATGAAGACAAACAGACGACAAAAAGGACCTTCCCATGCAAAAATCGTTAACATGTACTTTGAACCTACTTTGTTTTAAGCACTCCATAAAACTTGTTTTCGTCTTGGGGATAAGAAACTCTTAACAGTGTTGTGTTTCGTACCGAACAATCGCCAAGGCCATGTTCAAAACAATATTATGGGCAAAGAACACTGGATGCAAAGTTTGCTCAAATCACTTTATTTGATGAAAAATGAAAACAGACATAATAATAGAGGGTCTGAGAAAGAAGTAGATCTAGTTGGAACACCTAGAATAGAGCGGGGAAATTACTGTAGCTAAATGGTATACATTTTTGAATATGAATGCCCCCCCCCCCCCCCCAATCCTCGTCCCCTTATTCGTCGAAAAAGGTTCACATTACGTGGAAACAATTTGACCATGGTGTTGTCGTTAAAATAGACAATACAACAAAAAAAGATAATGTAAAGGAAAAATAGATGTAGTGCTTTTATTTTTAACAAGGTAAGTCAAACGAAGAAAACCCCAAAGAGCTGTGTATTCGAGAAAATTGCTTGTTGTTTAATTGATTATAACGCTACAGTATAAATGACAACTTGGAAATGGTGCTTAAAAAGAAGTTATCTTTCGTAACTTTGATATCTAACCCATGAGAAGACTCACCAGTAGATACGACTTTTTTAAAGGCGGCGGACGGAAAGTGTTCTTTTTTCGGGGAGGGAGGGGGGGGGGGGGGGGTAATCGTTCTATACCCCCTGCATACTTGTAGTTGTGTTGTAGACCAGAACTGGTTCTTCGCCATAGCACGATAAAGACACGAGTCTTATTCCCAAGTGGGGAAGATTTTAGCTATCGAATATTTGAGTCGGTCTGCTCTGCTGGGTTGTTGAATCCCACCCAGCTAGTATTGACCCTGGAAGGCAAAATCAAAGTAACTCACTTCCGGTCGGTATCTTCAGTTGGGCCGAATACCTTCTATAATTTGCCTCTTCGATTGACAAAGCTGTCTTGATGGCAGCATGGAATATTTACAATTTAAAAGAATAGACCAGAGAGTGCAATAAGAATTATAGTAAACACAAATATTCACATCTTGTGATGGTATAACATACCTCATGTTGGTCGGGAACGCTTCTGGCGTGTAAGCAAATAGAAAAGTGAAAGCAGAAGAGACACCAATCTTTCCTAGAATTGAGACTGCACTTGCGCAGATTTTTGCCGCTTCAGCGTCTGGGGATACACAGAGTTAAATAACATTGTTGTATTCATTGAAAAACAGTGTAGCTTGTATCACCAACATCGTCATCATTGTTAAAAAACAAGATAAACATTAATTGAGGGTTCTGTAGGATTTCATGCTCGTTAGTGAATAGTTTTCGAGTATAAAAACGGTATTAATAATTAATCTTTATCATCATTATCGAAAGGAGGAGCAGTGATGATAATAATAGATGAACTACGAAGAGCACAAGAACAAGAATATGAACAAAAACAAGAACAAGAGCAAGAGCAAGAGCAAGAACAAGAACAAGAACAAGAACAATAGCAAAAACAAGAACAAGAAGCTATGAGTTTTATAATCAAAAACATGTTCTTGTGCTCACCTGACGCAAGCTTTATGAAAGTGGCAACAAGTAGGAGTGACCCGCTCAACACGTGGTATGACGTCAGGGACGCGCGTCGACCCAGCCTGGAGAGATGGGATGTGGGTAATTACAGTTGGGGCCAGAACTGATACTTATGTTCGATTTGAGAGCAAAAGAGTAGAGAAATATTTGCATATCTAGACGCTCAGCAACTCGAGGCGACTGTAATATTTCGTCGCATAAAACATATAACAAGCGCATTGCGCATACGTGTACATATCATTAAATTGATATAATCACTTGCTGCTTTGCGAATTCTACTCGACAAGACAAATTCACATCAGTTCCGAAAATGTGTCAAAAATTGTCGTCGCCTTAAAACACATTCTGCACAATACGTGAAGGGCAATCATTATATAATTTTAGTCAAACCAAAGAAGCCAACTGACCATCCAGGCACTATAATGAGCAGTAGAACAGACGGTAGTTCGGCCAGCGAGTTGAGGAGGAAGTTGAGGTAGAGGTCGTCAGCCAGCATGCCTGACGTCAGAAACAGCATGAAGAAGGAAAAGCTGTCCACAATCCTGAAATAGGGGATGAAACAGTTACTTTTAAGATGTTTTTTGTTTGTTTTTGTTTTGTTTTGTTGTTTTCTTGGGGGGGGCGGTTCGGGGGGAGGGTGTTTTTGTTTTGTTTGTCTTTTGGTGGGAAAAATTACTGTTTTTGTCGGTCTTTGTTTTGTCTTTCATTGGATTGTTTTTGCTTGTTTAGATGGTTTTTTTATATTCTGGGCTGAGCAGCAGCAATCTGATGGTTTCAACTGTAAAGTGACCTCGCCTGATATTTCAACATTTATTTCTGGATATATTGTTCTAAATCATACGCACATGTATTTTTGACCTGAGATAAAGAAAACGTGTATTGAAATAGTTATCAGACTTAACTAATAATAATAATAATAGATAGCATTTGTATAGCGCATATCCCCGCTCAACAGCAGGCTCTATGCGATTTACACTATATTATTACCCCAGCAGACCATAGAGCACTCCGAAATATTCTCAGCTTCCCGGGAAGCATACAGTGCGAGCAGCCGATTAAACGCTCAAACACTAACAAACTGACAAGATCTTTCGCTGTCTACAGCCGGGTACCCATTCCCACCTGGGTGAAGTGAGGAAAATAAGTGTAAAGTGCCTTTCCCAAGGACACAACGTCGGGCCCCTGACGGGATTCGAACCCACGACCTTACGGTTGCGAGTCCGAGAGCCTAACCACTAGGCCACCGACGCCACTGAATTTATTGAAGTAAAAAGTTGTCTCCACAATTGATCCAGACATTGGGGGCTGCTTTGTTAGTGAGATAACTTCCAGGGCCTTCGGACTATTGTGGTAGGGTGGCCAAGTCCTTTCCACGCCGCCTTTATTTTTTATTGAATTAAAGAGACAAGATCAGATATCACCTTCTTCGCAACCAGCATCATCCAATTGGCATGGAAAAGAGATCTCTTCTGAAGAGAAATATATA